GTCGGGTCATATTCCATTGCTTGTTGGGCATTGCATCTGTTGCTCCCTGCGCCGCAGGGTGAGGTGGCCGGCTCATGTTTCGCTGCACAGTGGGCAGATCAATTGGCGCACCAGTTTGCTGGTTCATAGTTGGCGCCGGTGCATCTGGTCAAGTCAAGTTGCGCTGTTTCAGAGGGACAGAAGTTTGCGTCTTGCCTGGTGCGGGCATAAGAACTGCAGCTGTCTCCCCAGCTGGACGAGTCAAGTTTCGTCGTTTGGGAACAGCGGGGCTTTCTCGCGCCCCTGCAGCCGCCATTGCCTCAATTGGCGCGCCACCTTGCTCGTTTGTAGTTGGCGCCAGTGCAGGTGGAGGAAGTGGTCGAGCCAAGTTGCGCTGTTTGAGAGGCGCAAACGTTGGCGCCTCCCCTGGCGCGGGGATAAGAACTGCAGCCGTCTTTGCAGCAACCCCAGCTGGCTGTTCAGATGGATGAATCATGTTCCGAACTCTGGGCATTGCTTGCGCCTCGGGGGGCGTGGCTTCCCGGCCAGTTCCCGATGTCCCAGTCAGGGCCTGCGCTTGCATGGGAACAGGTGGTCGGGACATGTTGCGTTGTTTGGAAAGGATAGGAATGGTTTTCGCCTCAGGTGTCATACCTGCTTGAAGACCTGTTGGACCAGAAGCAGCTGTAGGGACGTTGGGTGCAGCTGATGGCGCAGCGGGTGGCAGAGGTCAACTCATGTTGCGTGACCTGGACTGCTGCGATGCCTGGACTTCTTTTCGTGGGGGTCGTGGTGGATCATCAAAGATGACTGGATATTTAGACCCTACTACGCCAGCAGAACAATGTTATGAGTGAAAACTTGAAATAAGGAATAACTTTACCTTTGAATGTGCCATCGTTGTTCGCCATCCGTGCGAATTAGACTACGAGGGTGTGGGCGAGTTGTGAACAAGATTGAATATTGATAAAAGACGAGATCGATTGATGAACACGGTCACATGACGTGACATTTGTTGTACCTTTCCAAACATGTCACGACTTCAACTTCCAACTTCAACTGCCTCCAACTTCAACGGCCTCCTCCACCGTCATCAACCACAGCAATGTCGATTCCATTCAAATCCGCCGACCTCCTGGAAGCCATTGCGCACTTTGAGGACAAGCTCTGCTCTATGGTCCGGGAACGCGCGGGACAGCTCATTCCAACTAGAGATGTGGATGAGTGGTTGAACATTGTCGTGAGTAAAGTTTGCTTTTACCTTACAGTCAAAGCTGATATGTTGAAGGACGAGATCAATACTCTCCTTGCAGCTGAAGCCGCCGTTACACCCACATTCGACCCCTTCCTTCCACTCGCC